TCCTAAATTTTATTTTCACACCTTAAATAATGTGTCATTTTGAAATGGAAAATTTGACATTTGACTTGTAATTCAGCACAAGGCAAATTCTCTTCCCTAAGTTTTACTGGTGATTCTGTCAGGTATTCGGATACCAAAAACTTAAGAATTAGCCTTGGGCTAAACACTTCAGGCTAAGTTTAGCAGCTATTAGAAATAATGCAGTAGGCTGGAAGGTTCTGGAAGTACCGGAGGTAAATTCAGGACATTTTGAGACATTCCAGCACTTAGAAAAAGCATCAGTTTTAATAGTGACCTATTTCAAAGCTAGGCACCAGCACAGCTCTTATCCCAAAACCCAGATTGTCTCCATCTCAGAAACAAGACATTTTTATCAGCAATATTAGCTTTTTTAGCTATCGTTATATTAATTTAAAGAGGACAAGTCCCTGCAGTGGCATCTAATGTGTTATCTGCAAGCCATCTTTCTTACTGCGATTGCCTAAGAAAGGTTTATATTTTATCTTTTTTTTTTTTTACTCTTTCATTTAAATATCTATAAGGAGGCTGGTAAGATGGCAGGTGGGCAAACTCCTTTGCTTTCGAGCCTGATGAACTGAGTTCAATTCCCCACAATCCATATGATGGAAGGAGAGAACTGGCTCTTTCCCTAGACGCAACTGCCCACACACATGTGCACACACAAAATAGATACTTCAAAAAATAACTCTTCCTAATTTTCTCATAATCTACACAAGAAAGAAATAGCTGTAAGTTAGACAAAGTTCTTAGGTTCATGAGACTTTGTGATTCAGGAGAAAAAGAGACAATGAAGAATAAGAAATATAATAAGTAGTATATACTTTTTTAAGTATAACTTGAAGTTATTGGACAGAAAGCGAGCAAACATGTAGGAAGTTTCTAACACTTGAGTACTAAGGTTGAGTGGTCGAGTGGTCGAGAGGTCTCTTCTAGAATCTTACCTGGGTAAACTGAGTAGATACTTCTTGTTATTATGCAAAAAAAAAAAAATTACCAACAAAGGGAAAAGGTCACATATGGAGAATAAATCTGGTAGACTGAAGGACTTTACAACCAGAAACCATGGGCACAAGGGAGGGCAGAGAGCAGGAAATGAAATTTAAAAAGAAAACAGGAAATAGCATGCAGATCAAGTAGAGCTTGAAACATAAGCTGGGTAATTCAGATTTTTTTTTTTTAATGTTAGTGCAAATATTTAGGGTTTGAAGCAGGAAATTGTTTTTTTTTTTTTTTTAATTTTCCCTTGTAAAGTTTTCCTGTTTTCTCAGATTGACGTATTCATATATCTCATTTTAAAGGCCTAGCTCACTCACCATCATACTCATAGAAAAGCCCTCTGCAGTGCCGGGGGTGGGGGTATTGAGTGGTCCTGGGGCTCCCTAGCTATCCTGCAGGCCAGTTCTCCATTTTGTTTGCATTCCTTACAAAGATGATCTTAGACTCTGGCTGAAAAGTGCCTGTTTTCTTCTGGTCTGACAGGATGAACAGTGTAAGGTTGGAGGGATGGCTCAGTGGAAGAGTTCTGGAATAAGCTATTGGGAGGTCCTGCCTTCATTCTCCAGTATTGTAAGGAAGGACATTGACAGACCAGCCGTATAGGACAGATACAGTCAGGTATGAGAGTTTCTGAGTAGTGGATTCTTTATGCAAACCATTTTTGGGCTTTGTGAATTTGATGTGAATTTGGGCTTTTGAATTTGATGTGGATCACTTACAAAATAATGGCTCCACAAAGAAAAGTCTAAGCTGTTCTTATGAGGGTGAGCTTTGTTTTAAGGTCCAAGAAAACTGTGTCTGTGTGGAAGAGACACTGCTAACTGATCTGTAGCAATGACCTTACAAGACGTTTATGGTGGTTTGAATAAGTACGGCCCCCACAGATTCATGTGTTCCAATGCTTGGCGATAGGGAGTGCCACTATTAGGAGGTGTGGCCTTGTTAGAGGAAACCTGTCATTGTGAAGGTCGGGTTTTGAGGTCTTAAATGCTCAAGAACACACACACACACACACACCAGGTTCCTCATTGCTGCCTTCAAAATACAAAACTCTCAGCTCCTTCACCAGCACCATGTGTGCCTGGATGCTGCCATGCTTCCACCATGATATAATGTTCTAAATCTCTGAAACTGTAAGCCAGCCCCAACTAAATATTTTCCATTAAAAGAGTTCCCTTGGTCATGGTGTCTCTTCACAGCAACAGAAACCCTAAAACAGTGCTTGAGCCAGGTTTGGCTCCTGTGAATCTTATGGTCACATTATTTTCAAGACTGCATAAATCAGTTTCTTACCTATCCAAGTGTCTTCTCTATTCTGTTTTCCCTATCTGTGCATTTCTCTGTCATAAAAATACGTAGTACGGAGAAAAAAAAAAAAGAGCCGGGCATGGTTGTGCACACCTTTAATCCCAGCTTTTAATACCAGGGCAAGTGGATCTTTGTGAGATCTAGGCCAGCCTGATGTATAAAAGGAGATAAAGGTAGTTTCAGGACAGTCAGGGCTACACAGAGAAACATAGTTTCAAACAAACAAACAAACAAACAAACCAATTATGTGCCTTCCTCTACTACAAGATATCTCTTGTCTTCCAGAAGAACTTTTTCTGCTATTTATCTATCTATCTATCTATCTATCTATCTATCTATCTATCTATCTATCTATCGTTCTTTTTGAGACAGGGTTTCTCTGTATAGCCTTGGCTGTTTTGGACTCACTTTGTACAGCAGGCTGGCCTTGAATCCACACATATCCACCTGTCTCTGCCTCTGAGAGTGCTGGGATTACAGGCATGTTCCACCATACCGGGCTTCCAACTTACCTTTTCTACTGAACTATTAATTCTTTCTGAGTAGGATTGTCATTAATCTTCTTGTACACATAGGCTATACAGCAGTGCACACTCACAGAAATGATATGTAAACAATTTTCAAATGAACAGATGAGTTCTGAAATTATCCTTGAACTCTGCTTCTGATCTTAGCCTTCTATTGAATGCCAGTCGTCTATGTTTAAATTCCCTTTGTCATTTTTAATCAGCAGTGCTGTTTCTTTCTCAGATCCAGTTTCACACACTCATAGCATTTTCCAACTTCTCCAGTTATATAGGCAACGTTGACTTCTTTATTCCTTCCTAGGTTACAAAATTTTTAGTTCCTTGTTTCAGTCTTAAGATGTTGAATTTCCATTTACTCCACCTCATTGACTTAACCCCTAATTTAGACTGCCATTGTCTAAATCCTGAAAAAAAGATAACAGGCATTTTGCCACTTTGAGTGTTATTCTGAATAAAATGTCTCCCCTTCTAAAATCCAGCTGTGTCTCTCTGCAATATCTCTCATTATCAATGATACATCTTATTCATAAATCCATGCTTTGGGCAGCTTCACAGGTTTTTCTGTGCAATGAATGCATGTTAGACAAGTCATTCCTCTCCATACAACCTCATTTAATGTTCATTAAACCAAATGAGATAGTATTTTTGTCTGTACTTTAAAGATAAGAAAATTGAGATTTAGTTACACCAGATTGTATATTTCATCAAAATGTGGAACTGAGATTTTAAGACATATTTACTTGGGCTATCTGAACACTGTCTAATCAGTGTATTACTACGAAGCATCTTGAATTTGCACTCCACTTGGAAGGGTTTCCATGACACAACCCACCAATCTTAACTTGCCACTGCTGTGCTCTTGAATCTGCTATGCCACATTTCAATTATCTCCTAAGGATTTACTTCCGCTTTTAAAATTCCTACTGGGTTGTAAACATTTTAATGTGCAGAGATTCCTGGATTACATGCTTCTTTAACTTAATTGAAAGTATTTTACGGAGCTCCTGCAATAAATTGTCAATAAATAATATATAAAATTTACATAATCCTTCATAAATATGTATGCCTATTGATTTGTTACAATATAATTAGGTGAGGCATTGATGCATCCAATTGAAGACCCAGAAAACCAGAATATTCTGATCTTACCCCAAGTCTTTTTGTTTTTTTGAAACAATTTGTGTGTGTGTGTAGAGCCTTGGCTGTCTTGGAACTAGCTTTGTAGACCAGGCTGGCATCAAACTTCTGAGTGCCTCTGCCTCCTGAGTGCTGGGATTACAGGTACCAGGCTTCTCTACCCAAGTCTTAAGAATTTTGTGCTTGGATGTCTCCATGTGGGTTTCCCAAGTAAGGGGAGCAGGAGCTGCCTCAGTCATGAACTTGGTCTTCTGCCCTTTGATCACTTCCCCCTGGTGACGCAGCCTTGCTGGGCCACAGAGGAAGAGGATTCCGGCATAACTGATGAGAAGTGATAAGTTAGGGGCAGATGGCAGGGGAAGAGAACTCCCCCTTTCAATGGACTAGGAGATGGGGATGGGAGTAAGGGAGGGAGGAAGGATGGGACTGGAAGGAGTTGAGGGAGGGCGCTATAATCAGGATATGTAATTAATAATTTGTAAAAAATAAAAAAATAAAAAAATAAACCTTTGTGCTTGAGTGCTTTACAATCTGACTAAATAATACCAGGATTAAAATGCTTCATTTGGCGTCACCCCACCCTTCCTACGAAGCAGCATCAACTATGATATAGACATTGTCATAACATCAACAGCAAAATCCCTTCACCACTGCTGTTGTGTTTTCAGTGTAGTGGAGAAAGAAAAGTGTTGTATTCTTTTACAGTGAAAATGTAAATGTGCTGTTTATCTTAACGTTCAAGAGAAATCACGAAGGGTGTCTTTCCAAGACTTGCTGGAGAGAGATTCTCTTATGCAGGAACCAGTACTAAAATACTAGCTTCATAGCCATCGTGCCTGGCTACTTAAAGGCCTAGCTTTAGTGAGAGACATCAGATTAGCGAAAACGGCGGACTTAGGACCGCGCGGAAGCCATATTTTCTCCGTCCTCAGAATCCCGCCGCCCCTGGGCACGTGCGGCTCGTCACGTGACGTCTCCCGCCCTCCCGGAAGTCCCGTGGACGAGCCCGAGGGGGCGTGTCCTCGGCTCCCTCCGCGTGCAGCTACCTGCGGGACGCGGGACTTCGGGGTCCGCGGCGGCCGGGGCGGCGGAGCGTGTGCGGAGCGGAGCCTGGAGCTGGTCGGCGGCCGGCGCGGCGCCATGGAGGTGGTGGAGGCCGCCGCGCAGCTGCAGACGCTCCAGTTCGGCGGCTCCGGCCAGGGCCCCGCCGCGCGGCCGCCACCTGAGGAGCGCCCGGGCGCCGAGCAGGCCGAGCGGGCCCCGCCGCCCGCCCCGGGCCCCGAGGCCCGCGGAAGCCCGCCGCCGAGCGAGGGCTGCGCCGCCGAGCCGCCGCCCAGCCTGCCGGCCACGTTCTCCTCGGACTCGGAGTCGGACTCGGACAGGTGGAGTGCCTGGGGCCCGGCGGTGGACTGCGCGCGCTCTGCGGGCAGCGGCTGAGGCGCAGCGCGCACGTGCGTCCCGGGAGCGGGTACCCCGGCCTCGCCGCTCTCAGCTACCATCCAGGGGTTTCCACTCCCTGCCCAAACTTGATAGTCCTGGGAGTTACAAGTAGAGGTAGTAGCCTGAGTCTAGAAACCTGGACATTTCGTTGACTATTTTGCTCTGTTATTCTCGTAGCAACTCAGCTTAGCATATACTTTAGGGTTAAAACTTGAATTTGTTTCAGTTCAGAATTGGTACTTTTAAAATCGAGTCTAGGTTTTTCAAACCTTCAGAGTTGAGGGTCAGGAAAAGAATTACTTTGTTTTTTTTTTTTTTTAATGTGTCAATTTAGTTTATGTACATTGGTGTTTTTTGCATCTATGTCAGTTTGGGGATGTCAGAACCCATGGAATAGGACTTACAAACAGTTGTGATCTGCCGTGTGGGCGCTGGGAATTCAACCCGGATCCCCTGGAAGAGCAGCCAGCCAGTGCACTTACCCACCGAGCCTCCTCTGCAGCCCTACTTTGTTTCAAAGTTGATCCTCCCCCATTCCAGCAAGGGTCTCATGTATCCCAGGAGGGTGACATTGAACTCCTGATGCTCTTGCCTCCACCTCTCAAGTGCGAGTTGGCCAGGTGCCCACCACCCTTCCCTCTTATTGGTGTTTCTTGATAGTTAATGTTAGTCTGTAGAACTGAGATAGGGCTCAAGAGTCTGCAATTTGTTAGCCCATTTCTTGGTATTGGGGCTCTGTGCTTTACACAGACATTTCCTCTCAATGTCCTTCCGTTGTGGAAGATCCAAAATATAGACTGGTATCAAACTACAAATATTTGAGCAACCCTGGGGTGATGAGCAGTGTTCTTCTGAGCAGGACAAGATACATACATGATTAGGAGATTTGGCATTTTTAGGAAACCACTCACCAAGAGAGACAAGGGAGAATAGGTTTCTAGTGGAGGGAGGACAGGTGAAGAGACTGGTGGGCGGAGGTAAGCCAGTTATGAACAGGGTGGTTTCTTGGCAGTGAGTGCTAAGGTGAAAGTCATCTTGTAAGCAGTTGCGCTGCTGGAAAGGTGATACAGAAGTACATCAGGAGGCAGGTTTTGAAGCCAAACAGGATATGGTGCAGGGGAGTAAGTGAATTATGTTGAAAATGAACTTCTGGCCCTTTCTGGCGGAGGGTACTTAGATATTTGAAGAAATGAAAAAAGGCATTACTTTTTGCCTGTATGCTCGGTAGATAATGTTTTGATAATAGAATCATTTATTTCAAGTTTTTGGTGATTGTGTGGTTTTTGTTGTTTGTTTGTGGGAGACATGAACAGACATCTCCTCATCCCAGGTAGTGTACAGTAACAGGCCAAAGGAGCAGTTTCACTCAAGCCTAGGTCAGCAAGCAATGCGCTTATTGTGCTTGTATGTAGGAGCCTGGGTGACAAAAGCTGTATTCCTGGAGCGCTCCTTGTTGAGGTGGCAGCTCTGCCAGAAGCCTCCTCCTAGCAGTTTCCTGCTTTTGTCACTTTGGGACAGGGCCTTGTAAGTTACACTAGCTTCTTGAGTCTTCGAGGCCCCTCTCCTCCCTCTAGGAGGCAATGTTTCAGCTATACACCAGTACCCCAAAAGAAGTTGTGGACAGCCTCCAGTAGCAGTTGGAAAAGTGCTCTGGAATAGGGAAGGAAGGAATTTGGTGAGTAGGCGTAGTAGATAGTATTTAAGTTGAGAATTTACCAAGGAATACATGTTTTCTAGGCTGAAGGATTTTAGGCAAATCAAATAGTATAATAATTTCACAATAGTGAAAATAATAGAAGTTTGGAAAGTTACATGCACTTGGAGGATAGATTTAGGCTCCATGTGGGGAGTGACAAGAATTAAGGTCCTAAAAGTTACTAGAAACCTGATTTCAAGGCAATCTAAGGCTGACATACTAAGGGGCTTGTTTTTTGTCTTGTTCATAGTATAGATGTTTTGGAGGAGAATTAACATTTTTTTTCTGTTAAGTTTGAATTTTTCTTAAAGTACAAACCTGTACAGCAACCATCGAGGATTAACAACTCTCAGAATTTTTATACTACAAGTTGAATGTTATTGGGCCATTTAAAACTAATTTGCTGCAGACATCATGGCAGCAGATTAAATATATCAGCATAGCATTCTTTTTATGATTGAAAAATTTTTCATTTAACATTCAGATCGTAGTTCACTTTCTTGATCTCCTCCCAGATCCTCTTCACCCATCCAAGTTTATACCTCCTTTCTCTGTCTCTTTAGAAAATAAACAAGCAAACAGCATTTTCTTCAGGGTCTCACCCAAGGATGGCTGCAGACTTTTTATATAGCCAAGATGACCTTGAATTTCTGATTCTCCTGCTTCCAGGAGAGCTGAAGTTCTAAGCATGAACCACCATGCTTGGCCTAAAGTAGACATTCTTTTGTATAAACACATTTCTCTCACTAAAATCCTAAGCAGTCTTATAAAATTGTACCTATCTCTTGTCCAAGAATACTTTTTTCTTTTTAAAGCAAGAGCAGGAGCTCATTTGGATGAGATGTAATGAGAAGGTGAAAGTAACAGCAGTGGGATGAAGAGTCATTGTGGGGAGAGGCCATTTTTGGTATTGGTATACAGCTATTACAGAAAATGTGAGGTGAGAAGTGATGTCCTGAAATGGTGGGAACAGATGAGGAAATATGGTAGATTAGGAAGTTGGACTGTTATAATTGACCTAGGATGAGGTAGTTTTAAAATGATGCCAGGGTCTCACCCACCATGACTGGATGGAAGACTGAGTCATGAAATAAAAAGAGACATTGAGGGAAAGATACTCATTCAGTAAGAATGATTTTTAATTTGTTGGAAATATAAGCTATGTATGATTCATACAATTGTGCTTGGTATGTACCTAGGTGTTAGGACTCTAGAATTGTAATGTTAGGGCTGAAAATGGAGGCATTTACCTGCACGTGGGTGATGACTGAGATCATTGAAATGAATTATGCCTGAAAAGTTCAGAGAAAAGAAAAAAGACCAAGTAAAAAACGTAAAAATAGCACATAAAATTGGCTGAAGTAAGGGGGCTGGTTGAGTCAAGGCAAAGCTTTCAGAATTGAGTGATCATCATGGCAAAGTTTGAAGAATTTCAAGGTGATGACTGAAAAGAACTCCTTATTGGTGACTCAGACAGGTGCTTTGCCTAGAGTTACCGTTAGCCACTGATTGTTGTGTGCTTAATTTCTACTCACAGAGATTTATAACACTTGACACTGTCAGCCCAGAGAGGGCCTAAGTATCAATATTTTTAAGAGTAATATATCTGATGCCAAAAATGGCCTCTTCCCACAATTAACTATTCTTCATGCCACTTCTGTTACGTTGATGTTATAACCTTTCATCCTAATGAGATCTGTTCTTGCTTTAAGTCAGGGAATTAAAAATGAACAACAACAACAAAAGCTGGGAATGGTGGTACATACCTTTAATCACAGTTCTTTGGAGACAGAGTCAGGCGGCCTCCGGTTCAAACCCAGCCTGGTCTGCAGAGTTCTGGGACAGCGAGGGTTGCGCAGAAACCCCTGCCTCATGATAAAATAATCAAACAACAAAACCCGAAAGCCCCAATACCCCCTAATATCTCACTAGCAAAGTCAGTTTGAAATGTTAGCTTTTGAATTGGACAAGCAAAACAAAGTAAATTGTTTCCTACCTGAAACACATTTTTTTTTTTAAATTACGATAGTACCTGACCAAGTTTTCAATTTTTCCTCTACAGTGAAACGGATTCAGATAGTTCAAGTTCCTCCTCGTCATCTTCCTCTTCCTCTTCCTCCTGTGTATCACTTCCTCCAGTACTGTCAGATGGAGAGGAGGATGTACAAGTCGAGAAGGACAATAAGAATTTCCCTCTTAAAACAAAAGATGAGTTGCTTCTTAATGTAAGTACTTACATTAATTGCTCCATAAATTTAGTGCTTTGTCTTGGCTTTTTGCTTGTGCATCTGCCAAACTTTGACATTCTTGTATGAAAGAAATGTGGAAAGTTTCTAAGGCTGCTTCTAAGCCTGACACTTCATACTTAACTGATAGTCATGTTGGGGCATTGCCTTTATTTTAGTGACTTGTATCAGTTCTTTAGAAGACTGTCTAGGCTGGACACAGGTCAGTCAGTTTTAGACCACTTGCTTAGCATGCATGAAAACCCAAGGCCCCCTAGCACTATCAAAACAATGGGAAACAAATGTTTTATATGAAATGTGTTATATTGGCACCTCACTAAGGCTGATGGCAAAATTTTTTGTGGGGTTATTTTAAATGTAAACTGACCTTCAGAAGAGAATATCAAGTTTGGTTGAAACCTTGTATTCAAGAGGTTAGTCTTAAATTAGAGTACAGGCTTAATTGCTTGTTTAGGGTCTAGTCCATGTACTTTAGTTATTATCAGTGCTTCTTAAAAGTTTGTAATGATTAGCTGTAATTAGTGTAAAAGACTAAATTGGTGACTAATATGAAATTTGAAGGCTTTTTATTTCTTGGCTGGATTATCAATATTGTTGCTCATAGTAAAAAGTTTTATTTATGCTTGACGTGGTAGGCTTTTGGATTATTGTGCTGTGGTTCATGTGTTTAATTCACGTTGAATGTGGGCAAACAAAGGCTCATATTCGAGTATTTTCTGAAAGTGCAGGGAACCATGTTTTTCTGTTTACCTATATCCTGGTGGTTTAATTCACGTTGAATGTGGGCAAACAAAGGCTCATATTGGAGTATTTTCTGCAAGTGCAGGGAACCATGTTTTTCTGTTTACCTATATCCTAGTTCACGAATTAGAAAACCAACAACTAGGAGACTACAATATTTTTAAAATATATATAGTTTAAATTGCCTTGTTGAATTTGTTAACATTGAAAGTCTTGAAATTTAATGCAAAATCTTACTGTGTTGACTTACTGTGCATGACTTACTGTGCATGCTCATATGCAGGGGATGGAAAGTTCTAAATAGAATGCTCAGAATTTCAGGAAAATCAGACAGGGTCTTTGGCCACACAGACCAGGAGCGTTGTTCTTTGGGGACTGAGATCATAACTGATTTTTGCATCTCCCTGGTACTGTGTGAAATAATTGCCTCCGATGGAATGTTCAGGATCAGCAATAATAGTGATTGCAGAATGAATGTAAATAGGTTTCTTTTCTCCATTTGTTCTTTTAAGAAATTATAACATATATGTAACACATGCCAAGTACTTTAAACAAAAGCATTCATGTTCCTACTTTCTGCTATCTAGTGGAAAGACAGTAAATATAGCAGAGATAAATTTAATTGCTGGGAGTATCATTGAAATATGTGTATATGGCTCAAGTGTAGATTAACTTTTTTAAGTACATTGTTTTCTTTTTAAAACATTTTTTTTTATTTATTATAGTTTATTCACTTTGTATCCCAGCTGTAGACACCTCCTTCATCCTCTCCCAATCCTGCCCTCTCTCCTTTTTCCTCCCATGCCCCTTCCCCAGTCCACTGATAGGGGAGGTCCTCTCCCCTTCCATCTGACCCTAGCCTATCAGGTCTCATCAGGACTGGCTGCATTGTCTTCCTCTGTGACCTGGTAAGGCTGCTCCCCGCCCCCGCTCATGGGGAGGTGATCAAAGAGCCAGCCACTGAGTTCATGTCAGAGACAGCCCCTGTTCCACTTACTAGGGTACCTACTTGGACACTGAGCTGCCATGGGCTACAACTGAGCAGGGGTTCTAGTTTATCTCCATGCATGGTCCTGGGTTGGAGTATCAGTCTCAGAAAAGATCCCTGTGCCCAGATTTTTTGGTTCTGTTGCTTTCCTTGTGGAGCTCCTGTCCCCTCCAGGTCCTTCTAGCCCCCCCTTCTTTTATAAGATTTCCTGCACTTTGCCCAAAGTTTGGATATGAGTCTCAGCATCTGCTTTAGTACCCTGCTGGGTATAGTCTTTCAGAGGCCCTCTGTGGTAGGCTCCTGTCCTATTCCCTGTTTCTTCGTCTTACAATGTCCATCTCTTTGCCTTTCTGAATGAGGATTAAGGATCTCACCCAGGGTCCTTTTTTCTTAGTTTCTTTAGGTGTACAGATATTAGTATGATTATCCTATACTATATGTCTGATATCCACTTATAAGTGAGCATATACCATGTGTGTCTTTCTGCTTCTGGAATACCTCATTCAGAATGGTCTTTTCTAGTTCCCACCATTTACCTACAAATTTCATAATTTGCTTTGTAAATTGTTTAATTGTTTTTAAATTGTTGAGTAGTATTCCATTGTGTAAATGTAACACAATTTCTATATTTATTCTTGAATTGAGGAACATCTAGCTTGTTTCCAGATTCTTGCTGTTATGAATAAAGCTACTACGAACATGGTTGAGCAAATGTCCTTGTTTACTTGAACATTCTACTTTGGATATATGCCTAGCAGTGGTATAGCTGGATCTTGAGGAAGCACTATTCCTAATTGTTTGAGAAAGCGCGAGATTGATTTCCAAAGTGGTTGTATAAGTTTACATTCCCACCAGCAATGGAGAAGGGTTCCCCTTTCTCCACATCCTCTCTAGCATGTGTTGTCACTTGAATTTTTGATCTTAGCCATTCTGATGGGTGTAAGGTGAAATCTCAGGGTCGTTTTGATTTGCATTTCCCTGATGACTAAGGACATTGAGCATTTCTTTAAGTGTTTCTCTGCCATTTGATATTCCTCTATTGAGAATTCTCTGTTTAGTTCTGTACCCCAGTTTTTAATTGGATTACTTGGTTTGTTGCTGTTTAACTTCTTGAGTTCTTTATATATTCTGGATATTAGCCCTCTGTCAGATACAGGGTTGGTGAAGATCCTTTCCCAATCTGTAGGCTGTCATTTTGTTCTGACGACAGTGTACTTTGCTTTACAGAAGCTTTTCAGTTTCATGAGGTCCCATTTATTGATTGTTGCTCTTAGAGCCTGTGCTGTTGGTGTTTTGTTCAGGAAGTGGTCTCCTGTGCCTCTAAGTTCCAGGCTCTTCCCCATTTTTTCTTCTAATAGGTTTGGTGTGTCTGGTTTTATGTTGAGGTCTTTGATCCACTTAGACTTCAGTTTTGTGAAGGGTGATAAATATATATCTATTTGCATTTTTCTACATGTAGACATCCAGTTAGACCAGCATCATTTGTTGGAGATGCTATCTTTTTTTTTCCATTGTATGGTCTTGGTATCTTTGTCAAAAATCAGGTATCTATAAGTGTGTGGGTTTATTTCAGGGTCTTCTGTCCGATTCCATTGATCCACCAGTATGTTTCTATGCCAGTACCATGTAGTTTTTATTACTGTTGCTCTATAGTACAGTTTGAGGTCAGGGATGGAGATAACTCCAGGAGATCTTTTAATTGTATGGGATGGTTTTAGCCATTCTGGGTTTCTTGTTATTCCATATAAAGTTGAGAATTGTTCTTTCAAGTTCTGTAGAGAATTGTGTTGGTAATTTGATGAGAACTGCATTGAATCTGTAGATTGCTTTTGGTAAGATGGCCATTTTTAAGTACATTGTCTTTTAGAGCTGAGAACATTGCCTGGTGTGTGCCATTTTGTGCCCTGGAACTGGATTTACAGACAGGTGTTACGTGGCATATAGGTGCTGGGAAATGAATTCCCAGTCTGCTGTCAGAGCAGCCAATGGTCTTAACACTTGAGCCCTGTTTATTTAGGCTTTTGGCACAGAGTCTATACCCCTGTTTGTTTAGTGTTTTGACACGGGGTCTCTACGTAGCCCTGGCTGTATGTAACTTAAGTAGTTGAGGCTGGCTTTGAACTCACAGCCTTTTTTTTTCCCTCTATTTAATGAGTTCTGGGATAAAAAGTGCACTCTATCACCCAGCAAGGTTTTAATTTTAAATTATGGTGTTTTGATTAGATATTAACTTAGTTTTACTTTAACAGTATTAGGAAAAACAACACAGCTTTGTTGCTAGAGGTAGTGGAGACATAATTTCTCCGGTTTGCCTAAATCTCTGACTTTTTAAGAATCTACTATGATTTTGAAAGGATGCAATGAGTTCAAGACATGAGATAAGCTTGGGGAGAAAAAAATGAGAGAGAGAGAGAGAGAGAGAGAGAAGCTTGGTCCTGAATTCCAAAGATAGTATGACCTCTGTCTTTCCTGCTCTGCCTCTGTGTTAGTTCTGTAAGGGTGGTAGTGTGTCTACCAATATGCGTTTTGTTTGTTTTTTGTTTTGTTTTGTTTTTAATGAGGAATTTAACCTACCTGTATCTGTTACACTGCCTTGAACAAAGCCAGTGGAATGCATATGAGTTAGCTTGGACATGAGCCTCATGGTCATTCCTGTGTGTGTGGGCAAGTCTGTAGGAGGTGAGAATGTGTAGGAAGTGAAAGCTTGGAAAGCATGTGGGCTAGTGTTGATAGTGGGAGAGTCTGTAAGCCAGTTAGCAGGAGAGGAGTGTGAATGTGTGTTTGGAGAAGGGTGAGGATTGGGTTATTGTAGCATACAAGCCAGGTGGATGTTTTTCTGACAAGTAAGGGATGCTGCAGTTGGAGGGTCTGTGTTAACTGGTAGAAGCAAGTATTTGGAAATGATTGTGATGCTAGGCTAAGTTTGAACATAGTATTGTGAGAAGAAAAGACTTGACTCACCTCAAGAAAACAGAAGATTTACTCTAAATTGGGGTTAGAAAGTCATGGGAATTTATTAGATTGCCGTGGGAAATCAGAGGTTTGGATATCAGGAAGGCACAGGTTAGGCGGTTTGACAGACAGAGACCACACCAAGGAGTGTTTGAATCTGCTGTGATTTACTGAAGTCAAGCTAACACTTATATAGTGATTACATAAAGAAGCATCTTGAAGTTGACATACTTCCTGGAACATTCAGACTTTTACCAACAAAGTTTACATTTTAACTGAAAGGGCAACCTGATATAAA